GGGTATTTAAACAACAGCATTAAGTACTATAGGAATCTGTGGAATGTGGAGTGCAGATTTATGTGTCTTAACAATTTATTTACTGGTTTGTAATAAGCCAGGAAACTAACACTATTTTTATATTAATTTGGCCTCAGAAGTAGGGTATACTGGAGCATGACAAGAACAACAAAAGTAAACTGGCATATACTTAATAACTGTAACAGTGAATTGCCTCCAATACTAAAATATTTATTGAAACTGGGGGAAAAAAAGCTAAAAAGAATTACCCTCAACAGCCTGCTACCAGCTCTTTAACAGTGGGCAATGTAATGCCTTAAGGTACCTCAAACTGTCTTTCATTTTCTAGACTTAATGGCTGATTGCAGAAATCAATGTTGCCATTAGTAACAGAGTATTTGTTATGGCATGATTTCCTCTGTTGTTAGGCTTGCAGAATGATTACAGTATTAGTGAGGTGCTTTCTTTATAAAGGGCTGAAGATATAACTTTCAATTTACTATCCATTAGTAAGTGACTTTGGAAATATACATGAGGCCAGAAATCTTACCTGTTATTACTTGGAGATTTTATTTCAGCAGTCATAGGCTAGTAACTTTAAAAATTGTACCAGGAAGCTCAATATTTTATAGACATCTCCAATGAAATATTATCTGCTTTGCTATTTTATACACAGCAAGTTAAAATGACATATAATACAATTAAAATGTTTCAGTCCGACTTCTGTTTTTTCTTGTACTTTCAAATGGGTGTGAATTAAGCAGAAGGCTTCATGCAAGTTAAAATCTGCACATAAGTTAGAAGATCGTCAAAAGGTTAGTAATTTGTATTTCTGAATCTCTCTTTAATCAGTCCAGTGGCCAGGTACAAGGACATAGCTAAGGAACTGACATGGTTGTCAGAAGAAGGGCAATGAGAGAGGTGAGCCAACATGCAGTTTATTAACTACAGCTCAAAGAAGGCATCTTTCCTCACCCTTTTACACAGAGGACAGGGCAGGATCTGCAAGAGAGACACCATGAATAGAAGAGGAGGAGAAAAACCACCTTCCAAATCCTGGAGGGACAGGCCCTGGAATCGACACAGCCATTGGTGGCTGTTCAGACCCTGCACGGTGGGAAGGTGTTAGCTGAAAGGCTGGGAAACCTGCCCTTGGAGGGGAAAAGGGTGAGCAGAGAATTAACCTCAAAGGCATTGCAGGAACCCAAACACAGATGTTCTGGCAAATAATAGCACATCCCTGTGGACTGTAGGAAACAACCTGACAAGAGAATGCATAAACTACTTTACTGCCATGATTTCAAATACAGCTATGAAGCTTTCAGAGCAGAGAGGGAAGAAGATGTTATCATACCTGAAGAGGAGGGTGAGGAAGGATGAGGGCTGTCCTCCTGAGCACTTCCTGTCTGCGAGAGACCCCCACCTACTCCACTTTCTTCAGTAATGTTAGAGGACCCTGGTGTTGTCGACCTGCTGACAGACTGAGACTCTTGATCACTTCCAGACCCACGCCGCTCATCGAGACTACCTTGAATGATTTCATCTTCTCCTTTCCTGTCTCTTTTGTGGACCCTGGAGTGAACGACCACTTGGTGGTATGTTCTAAAAACCCTTCCGCAGTCCGGGCATTCAGTTGGCTTTTCTTTTATGTTTCCATGACTTTGTAAGTTGTAATCGAGTCCCTGATTCATACCATGTGACAAAAAATCTCTACTGCCTTCTAAAGGGTCTAGTTTGCTTGGCAAGTCTCTCTGATTGCCCATTTTAGTGCTGTGAACCAAATCAGCAGGCATTTTCTGCTTAGAGCCATCTGCTCCTACTAACACATACTCCCGCTTCTCCTTATCAAACATAACTCCAGCATTTGCCAAAGTGTCTTCGTGGCTGCGCTGTATCTGCTGCTCTTTAGACAAAAAGCCATGTTCCATGGCCATTCCCCTTGCCATAAGCTGCCAGGCCTGATAGCTGTTTACTGGATCCATCTCTGCTGCTTTGGCGGCAGCTTGTAACCTTTCTATACAGCTGGATTTCAGAGGAGGCACCAGATTGAGACAGCCCAATAAAGAATGTTTGTCTCCTTCGGCAATACCATGGCCAATGCCAGAAATGGGTGAAAGGAGCTTCCCCAAGACTTCTTTCTCTTTCATGGGCATATCTCCTTTGTTGTAGATCTGATTTTGTTCGCTCAACCTCGCCTTGTCAGGGGGAAGAAAGCCACTCTGCAAACATGACAGATATCTTGAATACAAGTTTGCATGAGCTTCCTGGGACATGCTGCTGATGGAGACAGGTACTTCAGGATCATTAGGAGATTTGTTCTTTACAGATAACTTATTCAGGTGAACTTTCATGTGGTTTTTAAGAAACCAAGGCTCTTTGAATCGCCTCCCACAGATCTGACAGCAGTGTTCAAAGGAATCCTTGTGCTTTCTCATGTGGCCTTTTAGGAACCAGGCTTGGCTAAACACTTGGCCACACACCTCGCAACGAAACTCATTGGTGGATTGCTCCCCGTTCCCGTTGGAGCCCTGGCCCTGTGCTGACTCTGCAGTTATGTGAGCCTTCTCCACGTGGCTGATCAGCTCCTCCTCCTGCGAGGCAGCAAAGTCACACAGAGTGCACTTGTAAGGCTTGTGTAGGATCCTTATGTGCCTGTCCAGCTCTTCTCGCTTCTTAAACTTGCCTTTGCAAAACGTGCATCTGAACCCGGCTGTCTGAGCGACAACCTCTTCCTGGACACTGACTGCCTTTGGAGAGGGAACAGGGTTTGAAATATCAGGTGTGTTGTGATTAGGTGGCACAGACAAGTTACAGTTTGCGAGCGGCATCGGCTGGGTGTGCTGCTGTGCTTTGACATCGGGTCGTGGCTGCAAGAGGCTGCTCTTCATCTGCTTGTCCCGAAGGATTGCTCTCTCCTCCAGCTCATGTAAAAGTCTGTTTTCTTCTCGGACCCTTCCACGGCCTTTGCCAAGGTTTCCAAGCTTGTGAGTACGCAGGTGTATCTTCAGGTTGCCTTTCTGAGCTGCTCTGTGGTCACAGTAGGGACACTTGAAGGGTTTCTCTCCAGTGTGAGTGCGCATGTGTAGCGAGAGGATGCTGTTAAACCGAAAGCGTTTCCCGCACAGGGGACAGGGGTACTTCCTGTTTTTCCTGGCGTCATCCTCGATGTCACTCATCTGAGACATGATCCCTAGGTTCTGTCCATTGAGGAACTGCTGCAGATCCACACGCCCGTTCAAGCTGGTATCAACCTCTCTGTTGAGCTGGTTTGCCAGCAGGGCCATCTGGCTGCTGATGGGCTGGTTTGCTATGGACATGTGACTTTTGTCTTCTAGTGGCACTGATGCCTTCTCCTCGGGATTCTGCCTGTTCTGGAGCTCGGGGAAGGCATGGCTGAGCTGGGAAGTGATCTGGTGCAGCTTCTGACTCATTGAATATTGCCCATTGAGTATGGTGCTGTTGAGATGGGCGTCAGCTTCTGGCACAGCTGAAGAAACACCAAGGCACAAACTAGCTTCCTCCATCTCTGAAAATCAGAAGATATTTTAGATTCAGACTGTGAAAGAGTTACAAGCATTGAATCACTGGCATACAATTTGCATTTTATGTTTTACCCACTCATAATAATGCAAAGGAATTAGTGTAAAAACAATTAAAAGTGTATTAAGTGCCAACTGTGCTACACAGTTTTGATCATACATGTACTCATCCTGCATGTGTACCAAGAACTATTAATTATTATTTTAAAATATGCGACAATTTCAAAATCTAATTATTACAGAAGGGGCAAAGGCATTTACCACCTCCCTTGTCCTCCTTGTAAAACTGCACCTGTCTGCATTTCTAAATCTATAGAAAAAGAAATCTTATGCATCTCTCCCATTTTCATTTAAAAAGCCAGCAAAAAAACCCCAAAATAGAAATCCATTTGTAACTTTCAGTTCCATTAACCATATTCAATATTTTACACATTCTACAATGAGAAAGATAGTTTTATGATTTGACAAAAAACCGATGGTATGATATTTACTGGTGTACAATAAAACAAGATAATGTTTTGGGAAAAAATAAAGGACAAGCTTTAGAACAATAAAAGGGATTTTGCTTTAGTCAACAAAAAGTGCAGTAATATCTCATTAAGCTGATTAGTATGCTGCTTAGAAACAGTACTAGGTGCTGTAACACATGATTATAATCATAAAAATCCTTCAGTGTTTGCAAGTAAGCATTAACGAGGTATATTAAATTTTAAGGAGACTGCGACTAGCAGCTTTGTAAACCTCTGAGATTAAGATTTAACCCTTCTGTTACAAAACATTGTTATTTTGTCATTTTGAAACTGAGCCCATCAAAAGGCACTAAATTATCTTCTGCCAAGTCTTTTAATTCGTTGTTGAGAACCTTCAGCTTTCTGTTCCTAGGAGAACTTGCCAGATTACAGAAGGAATATCTCTGTCCTTCGATGGGTGATACATGTGATTTAAGACACTTTGATTTGTTTTAAAGAGCTCTCTTATGGAACTAGATAAAACCAATTAAAATCTGGGAAAGGTGTTTTGGAAAGCCTCAACAAGTTTAAGAATTCTAATAACTTTCCTAATACACAGTAATGACTACAAATTGTAGCTACACTATGTATATTGCAGGAAATTAGAATTCAAAGCTGTTTGTTAAACACAAGTGCTCTGTTCTGGTCTGCATAATTGTCCACAATAATCCATCCTTGCCACTTCTCTACTCTATACAGATATAATGTATCTATAAAATTCTGTTAAAAATATAAAGTTTCCCATAACTAATTCATAAACTATATGATGCTATAAGATTATATTAGACTACAATTAAGATTTTTGTTGTTCAGTGGCATGATTTGACACTTTATTCACTCTCAAAACTACTGAATTCTATAGGTTCTTAAAAAATTAATTTAGTCAACCTTCTCTTTGGCTTTAGCCAAAAGCATTTTTTCACTGTGTCTTCCACAAAAGCTCCAGGCACACCCTGGGTGGACTCCACTCCTCACACAGCTTCACAGTGGCCACTTGATAGACAATTCAAGGTCCAGATCTGGCACACACTTAAAATGCATATAATTGTGCTCATGGGAGCAGTCCAGTAGACTTCAAAGGGTGAGTCTTGAAAGCAAAGTTCCACACATGATTAAGTATTTGCAGGATCAGGGCCTAAAAACAAAGCATGGGAGGTCTTTGAGAGGAGACCTCTTTGGTCCTGACAGGATGACTGAGGTTGTGACACAATGCAGATCTTGTAAGTACAGGAAAGAGTTATATTCATGTGTATTAAAAAAGAACAAGAGCTACCTAATTTTGCCCATATACATAACAGATCTGTTTCAAAGTTTAACAGTCTGATTCGGGTCACATGTTGGGGACCCATTATTTGCCTGCTGTCAATGTTGTTATTTATAAAAATATTAAAGAAATCAAGTATATAAAAGGACCACACTTAACTTTAGCTTGCAGTGTCTGATTTCCAAAGGTAGAGAGTAGGAGAACATAATCAAGCCAGGTGCTCACCCAAGGCCATGTAGCAAACAAGGAAAATTCTTAATTTCCATTCAAGTTTTCTGTGCAGCAGACCACAATCATTCAAAATGTGGGTGCAAACAAACCACTTTTTTCTTTAATTTTTGAAAGTTTGCTTAACTTATGGAACAAACCAAATTCATGTTCAAAAGGATTGATTATTAATTAAACAACTGAATACTTGTGGTCCTTAGAATTCTATTGCCTGAAGTTAACTCAGATTTTGAATATCTGCTTATGTGTTTCTTAAAAAAAAGTAATAAATACTCTCCCAGATAGCAACACGAGAAACCCCAAACCCTGAATCTACTTTTTGTCTGGATTCCACATACCCAGGAGTGTTATTTCTCCCCACCATACTTAAACAAGGCATGCTGGCAAACAAGAATGTGACAATTCCAGAAATGCATAGCATGTGCTGACACACACAAACATTGAAGAATGTTTAGAAAGGTCTTTGTGAATTGTCATTATTCTATAACAGCTTCAAAACTACAGTCTAAATTTCTTTTTTTTTTTTAGTTATCTCAATAGGACCTGGTGCTTTTACATGCTCAAAAAGGTTTGGGTAGTTAATTTTAGCATTTTATGCTCTATCGAAGTTTGGAAATGCTGGCAGATCCCAGTGGAATTTATTAATTCTGATGTTTAACCCTAAGCATCAGTTCAAATGTATGGTTATTTGGATTGGGGAGGGGAGTTGTGGTTGAGGTTTTAGTTATTCTGTGCTTTTTTTCAAATATAACTTTAATAAAGTAACAACAGCAGTTGTAGGTCGAACATAGTAAGTTTTCCAATTTTTCCTTTTTGCTATTTTCTGTCTTCCAAAATCATACAGAAATATTTCATGTGGAATATTGAGAGAACAAGTAAAAAAAAAACAGTTTAGAGGAATACCAAATCCATAATTTCTCACTTAAAGACTAATAATTTTGGACCAAGTCTGGGGAGCCTAACCCCCCCGATAGAACTTTTGGCGTGGCAAATGCTATACATTTTTTATGAAATATGCAGAAAGGTCAGCAAAGCCTCTGCTCAGTGAGCAACAACCAGCTCTGAATGCTGCCCACTCTGATCAGCCGCGCAGTTCCTGGGATCCAGCTACCACAATATCAAGATGTATTCTTCACTTAAACTGCATTTCCCTCTCATCTGCCCCTGCTTCTTGCAAGCCTGCTCCTTCCTCTGGCTGTGAATTGTCTCCTCTTTTCCTCATTCCAACCTGGTCTCATTGCAAAGTATAACTATGGCACTGAAAGTACTGCCCTGTGAAATTTCTCCTCCTGTCATGCCCAGTTACAGCTTTTCTGAACACCGGGACCTTGCTACTGCTCAGCTTTCCCAGAAATCACTCCTGGTGTCCCTTAGCCCTTTCACAACAAAACCTACCAAAATCTCATCTTGTATCTACAAGAAACAAAACACAGTCTCATTCATCATTCCACTATGAATTAGATAACTCAATCTAATTTTCCTAATATCTAAAAAAAAAAAAAAAATAGCAATTTCATTCTCTTCCTCTTTATCCATCATCCCTGTCTAGATCTATGGCCAGACAGGTTTACACCAGGTGGAGTAAGGGGCTTTCATTCCCCAGTGAGGCTCCTGCAGTTCATGGTACCCACCTTGGTGTCAAGGTATACAAAAATAAAAAATCTGGAAAAGTCAATTTATTAGTGCTACTTTGCTGCTCCATGATAGGGAAGATATCTAGCTTTCAATTGTTAAATATATAGTCTACCACATTATTTTCATGATCCTGATCTCTCATATAAGGAAAGGCACAGAATGTTTTGCCATCTCTCGTGCTGGGAACAGAAGCACAATGTTCTCTGTAGTTAACAAATGTTTACAAAATGAACTGCAAATCAAATTTGAGATTGTTAAAGAATTCAAAATATATTTGTTGAAGTTTATTTAGTAAATTTCTGACCTTTAATTATCTCAAATGTTGGGTGAAACAGTGTCCCTCAAGACATGGCACCACACCAGAGCATGTTGGGATCAGGAGTTATGGGTGCCCTTTCTAACCCAAAGAAACCCTCAGCTCTTGCCCAAGTGAGTTGCTGTGGCCAAAAAGCCCCAAACTTACCCTGCTGCAGACACAGGCCACAGCCCAGCTGGGCTCACACTGCACTGGGCAGGGCAGCAGCACCCTTGGGAGGCAGCACACCGACCACCCAAGGCCATCCAGCCACGTACTGTGCCCAGCATGCAGGATCCTGTTCCTCTGAGGAGCAGCTCAGCTCATGAAACTCACTATGGGATACAGATATTATAAAATACTCTCTCTCATCTCCTACATAAAGGTACAGTGAGACATTCAAGTCCCTTTGATGATACTAATAGTTATTTTGATTTCACTCACATTTTTGCCCTCAAGACTATTTCCTGTGATATCAATAGCGAAAGTTCTGGCTTTCGCCATTTCAATTGAACACACAGATTTTATTTAACTATTTGAAATGGATTACTGGAATTTAAAACCAATTATGACACCAGAAATGCCTGTCATCACAACTACATTAATGTAATACGAGAAGCTGAGCTTCCTCTTGCTGGAAACAGAGAAAAAAAATACAGCAAGCAGAATGAGAGAATTTAAAGATAAATCTATGCCTACGCACACATGTGAACATATGCAGGCACACGCATATCTGTATACAGACACATATGTGCAGACACACACCTGTTATCTTTGTAAACAGATGGACCAAATTCAGCTCTTATTTACACCTGTTCATTCCTGCTGGACACACACACACTCTGAAGCTCTCCCCTCTTCAGTGCTGTAGAGAAAACACTCATTTTAAAACCACTGTTGTGCTGTTATTATAGCTTAGATTAGGTTAGTTAAAAGATTTACAGTTCAGTAAGCAAAGTAATGCTTTACAAGCTCACGTGTTTAAATGACAAGCTCGCGCTGGCCCTGATCCTCTGAGCAGTTAGAGCTACACACACTGTTACTTATGCTTTTAGAATATAGACCTGGTATTTATCTTTCCAGCTAGAAAAATTCACATATATCTACATTATCTTGTGGTCCACTGGCAAATTCTAAATACTCCAATAGAGACTGCTTCAGTTCTTAGCAACTCGTAAACAGGTATTGCTGAGATCAGAATATATATTGAATTTTTATTAAATATTGTTCTTATTGTTGCAGCAGAAACAGTTGAACTAAGGCTGTTATAAGCATAATACACTCCTGTTAAGAAATACAGAACACCAGACTACTGAACCCTTTCAGGGTCATTAAACAGCTGTAAACATTATTACAAAAATAAACCAGAGATTTCATGCTTACATTTTAGCCCAGAGCTTGGTGTGCTGAGCAAGTACATTTTTTTCATCTCTTACAATCAACGCTGGTGACATTTGGGCATCCAAACAAATTACATCACAAATATTACTGAGGTGGGTAGGATACTGAGCAGTTTATTTGCCAGATGATTAATATATAAACAGTAGGGCAGGATAAATGACCTACTCTTCTTTGACTGATTTGTAGGCAATACTAAGAGACATAGATATAAATAGTTAGATTTTAACAAAAACATGTGTGCACGGAAGGGGAGGGGAGAGATCAGCTGTATTTAATGCCACCAGGACAGCATTATCCAATCTGATAAAATGAAATAAACATTAGGCCAGATTCTATTCTCATTTTACTTATGCAAAATAGAGTAATTGCATCGACTTCATTGGAGTTTTTGTTAAGTAGGTGTCCTGTTCCTTGGGGTATAATATAATTATATCAGGAAAATATATGGTTTCTGGAGTATAAGAGGATGTCTTTAAAAAAAGAAAGTTGGCCTACAGGTAATGTGCCCTCTATATTTGTTTTTATTTAAACATTATTAAGGCCAGCTTGGTAATTCGCTATCACTGTTAGTGACATTAGCACATTCGGGTTTGGTAGGCGTTGCAGAGCCGTGTAACTCGCAGTACCTGAGAGCTGGTTTGAAGCAGGAGCGGGGCACAGGCTGCCCACAGCTCTCGGGAAGCAGGGCTGCCCCATCCCACAGCCCCAGAGGCTCCGGGGCTGCCCCATCCCACAGTCCCAGAGGCTCTAGGCTGCAGCCCCACACCAACACCCATCCTCCCTCCGGCAGCCGGGACCACGCAGGGGGCAGCCGGGAAGGCATTTGACAAAACTGTAGCTGCTTTGTAGTGCTGATATTTAAACAAGCTGCTTATTGATTCCAAAACAAAGTACTCCTTTAGTAACAACAGAGCCAACTCATTCCACAACAGTTTTTATGTCTTAAAGAAGGGTTAGCAGAGGGATTTTGAAGTTTCAAAAGTCATTAGCAGACAGAAAATGGTGTGCTGAGGCTGTACTGCCTTTGCTCTGGGCTGGGAAGAGAGTTGCTTTCTAAAATACCTGTTACATCTGCAGGGTACTTTCTAGTCAGCACAGCCTTTGGGACTGATAACTGATCAGTGGAAGATAAATCACCAGAACAGTCTTTGGCTGGTAGCACCCATGGAGTGGAGGACTGTGAACCGTTTGTGATCACAATCTAGGAAGATGAGCACAGAGGAGAGGAGAGGTCATTTATAAATCTCACTCACAGATTAGAATAGAAAGATTAGAAGAATGCAGACAAGCTGTTTGATTTATTGCTACTTTGCATGTGACTTAGCAAAATCTGTTTTCCTTCTTATTTATTCTATTTCCCTTGCATATACTTAAGAAGTCAGATCCAAAGAAGAGAAAGATAAATAATTGCTACTGAAAGTTCAGTAGATTAAAAAATAAAAAAAATAAAAAAAAACCCATGATTTTTTTTTTCCAGGCACTGGTTGCATCTGGGATCATTATTTCTTAGCTTATAAACATTGATTCTCATTTTGCTTTTTTTTTCCTAGTGATCTTTTGATGGCAAAAGTAAAGAAAAGAGTGATACCGAAATTCATATTGGAGCCTTATTTGTGGAATGCTTCATTAAACTAAAGCTTCTGTTACTTTAGAAACAGCATTTTTTAAAGTAAATTTGTTATTTTCATGTAATTTGGAATGTATACAACTGATTAAACCCTCTCCAATTTGATCAATTTCCTGTAGCTCCTATCTGATCATTCACTTTAATTAATCTAACTGGCATCCACATCAGATTGAAGAAACTTTAAAATTAAGCTTTTAATGAACCACTTTACCATCACAGAGTACAAATAAAATAATAAAATGCCTGGAAGACTTTGCAAAGCATATTTATTATTTCATTTTTTGTCATTTTTACAGCATGGAAAGGGCTCTGAATCTCCTATTCTCATCTGAGGACACTGCACTGCACTTGAAGTCTACAATGCTCTAACCCATTATATAATATTAAAAGATACATAATGTTGACCCTATTATTCTTGCATTCCTCACACAGGAAAGTTCCAAATAAAAGGCTGAGCATTTCAGCTGGGTGAGGCCAGGAGGATCAGGCCCCCTGAACCAATTACAAAGAAATCAATAAAGAAGAGCTAAGACCACAGAACTCAAAGCACAGTTTGAAACAATTTAAATCCAAAACTGTAATGATGGGTTGATGATTTTTTTTTTCATTTTACAAAGGCTTAGACTCAGATTTTGTGCACAGCTAAATATAATGTCAAATGCACGTATGTCCCGAAGATCAAAGTATGATTGACTGTGAAATATTCATATGTGATAGCCCAGCGAGATTTTGTTTGCAAGGGCACCTGTCAGAAGCATAAGCTTGGATACAAATCATCAAATAAGTATGTGAAATCATTACTAAAATCCAGGCATGCAATCAGATAGTCAGTTGTCTGAAACTGCTGGACTGTGGCCAGCACAGTGGCTCAACAGACTAATGCTTTGGTCTTTGCAGATCCTCAGGGCCCTGGTTCAGTTCCTCCTGCTACTGGTCAGGTCAACTGTCTGTACCTAGTGTTGACTTTCCTGGCACTTAATGCTAGGAGCAAAGCAAAAAAACCTGAGTCCATAAGTTGCCTTTGACCTGAGCCACAGAAACATCTGCTGGTTGAGTCATGAACTGCTTGTTGGCCAAGTTTAACAGGATCCGAGCCTGTTGCGGATCAGCTCTCTCAGCAGTAGGTGTCACTGCAATAAATAGATGGATTTCAAGGGACAAAGACACACATTGCCAGGGAAAATGCATAAACAGAACATCCCTGAATAAAGAGACTTTTGAAAAGTATGTGGTCCACTTTATGCAAAATATTGGGAATCTGTTAGGGAGGAATTAAATTGCACAAGTGGGACTGCCAACAACAACAGCACCGTAATTCTGTCCTTTAGTCCTGTGTCACAGAGATCCTTTAATTCACATTAATCACCTCCTTGCAATCCCAGGTCTATTAGGTAAAGACTGTTACAGTTAAACCTTTTAAAAAAAAAAAAAAGCTCTCTAACGAATTAAGTCATTTGCTCTTGTGGAACAAAAGACCTAGTTATATGGAAAGACACTGCACACTCAATTGTGGTTGTAGGACTGAAAGACCACAAGGTTAGCCTATTTTTTGTCAAATTAGAGAGCCCATACCCAACCCTATCTGCATACAGAACAAGGAGAGAGAGAATACTTCTAACAGCTTGGGGGGTGGGGGGATGATGTCTCAAGTATAGATTTAATTAATAGAATGCATATTTTGAAGAAGCAGTAACCAATTTATATTTGAAACAGAAATATTTGGTATGCCAAGTAATATCACAGAGATGTCAGCCAAGTCTACACCATATTTGGTTTCATTATCACAAAATGGCTTGTAGGATAATTAAGGATGCTCCAAATTGCATGCTATTGAGTTAGACTGTAGACAAAACAATGCATCACTAAGCATATGGGCTACCTGTGATGACATCAAGACAGAAACTACGTGCCTAAGAAAATGTTTTAAGAAAAAGAAGCTTAATACATTAAACCTGTTGCACATGAAAGAGAACATATGTGACAATACATACGCCTAAAGTACATATATAATACAATTGCATTTATTTTACTTCCAATAATTCTAAATGGGGAACAAAAGAGAGGAAGAAATATAGAGAGAATGAAAAGATAAATTGCTGTATTCTTCAAGGACAGTATATTTAAGAAAAAAAACACTATAAAAAGTCACCCCCATGAGAAACTTAAACGGCCACACTACAGATGTGGAAAGAGCTCCTCCTTTCCCCCAGCAGCTGCTGAAACTTCCCCAGCAGTTACTCCCACCAGCTCCTGCCCCCGTGTTCCCTAAAGGCCTCCAGCACATGGAACCCCAAAGCACACTGTGATCAATTCAGAGAGGAGAGGGACACCTTTGCTAAATGTTTCTTTGCTGGGTACAGAAATACCCAACATCTTAATACAATGGAAGTGGAAACAGGTAAAAATTCAGAAGTAACTTGCCCAATTTCAGTGCTCCCAAAGAGCATAAAGGGACCAAGGTTTTCAGAATTTCAGCACTGTAGAAATAAGTATCCCTAACTGATCATTTCTACATCTCATTTAGGAAAAAGCTTGCCATGTATCTTGACTTAAATAGATGCCTCATCCTCTGTAAGGAAGCCAGGGACAGTGTCCAGAACTGTTGACTCCCATTGCTTAGTCCAGTATGCCAGATAGCTTTCCTTTATCAAACATAATTGACTGCTGAATAGACAGGGTTTTTTAACTCATGGCAAACCTGTCAGCATAAAACTTTTTTTTTGCTTGTTTATAATACTAGAGATTTTTTAGGTTTTTGTTGTTGTTGTTGTTGTTTTAAACAGAGATTCTTGGCTGTTAATACCCTCTATCTCCATATTCTATCTTCTTTCTTCCCTCAATCCAACTGATTTATTTTTCTTCTCCCTATAATACATGGATTTGGTGACAAAAAATACCACACATAATTTAGATGGTCGTAGTGATGCTTAGATTCAAGTGGTTTCAATGAGTTATTACTCATATTAGTTTAATACTAATATCCAGGAAAAAAAAAAAAAAAAAGAATAAAACTGAGCAAGCCTTCATTTGAGTGGAATGAGATGGAGTAAAAGATGCAGTTGAAATAGGCAGGGACACTAGAAGCAGATTAATGCTGGAAAAATAGAGCAAACATTTCACAGAATACCCCTTGTGTTCGTGGTCTCCGAAAAGCAGAAAGAGAACAGTTGTTAAAGAATTAAGTGGAAAAGATAGATGAGGAAACACCAAACAGACTAAGGCATAAAAAAAAAATGTACTTAATTATCACCATGTAAAATGAAGCAGAAGAAAATACAAATCCCCTTTATTCCACTGATGTTCTGTTCACATTCTTACAGATATATCACTGCTTCTGTCATTTAACCTTATTAATTGATCACTGTCATGAACACAAGAGCAGAGCTGGGAACTCTAAAGCCAACTTGTACCTCCTAAGCTGCTTTCCCACTGATACAAGTGGCTCAGGCTTACCAGGGTGTGGTTAGCAGTCACTGCACTGCTCAGACACCCATCCTGGGGCCAGGAATCTCCAGAAAACAAGCTCTTTATCATATATCCTTTTAGAGAAGCAAAAAAAAAAAAAACATCATGCTGCTCTTTCAGAGGGAGGAAGACAACCCCAAACAGGAATATCTACGCTTAAAGTAACGGACTTGGGATATTTCCCTGCATTTTCCCAGCTGATTTAAAATCCTCTGTACCTGTTGTAGTGAGATTATTCTGCCTTTTCCTCTGAATGATGGTACCAAACAGTTGCAACAGTTTTGCAGTTAAGCCAAGGGAATAACAACGATGTCATACCAGTGACCACTAAAAACGTCCCATCTTTGCAGTGCTCTTGGCTGCAGAGAGGGGCAGCCCCTGAAGGAACAGAGAATCTCCTCCCTTTGCCCTGAGGGATCAGGTACAGGACAGGGAATCACCTCTCTCTCCATGGAAGCAGAGATGTGAGCACTGACTGTGGTGAAAGAGGACTCATGTTTAAGTGCAATGGCCTTCAGGATCCATCCATGCCCAAGCAGCTGCTGCTTGGGCACCCCTGTTTTATCTGGGCACACAAGCTTTGATCATTAATAGAAAGGGCACTGAAAACTGGCAGACACATGGCAGATAGATGAATGAGGGGAGAAGGAATACTGTAAAAATACAATAACATTTCAAAGCTACCTCCAGGATAAAAATCCTTGAAATAATTTTGATGTTAATTGCAACATTGCAGGCCCTTGGCTGAAAAGACAGCCTCTGGTGGTGATAGGTGAGTGGTAACAAAGCTGACACAGAAAGTCTGATAAATGCAATCACAGGATGACAGACCCTGGCAAGTTCAATTACGGTCGCGAAGTCAGGTGGGAGATGGACTCTGCTGACTGTAATAGATCCTTAGCAGCCAGCTCTGGCCACGTACAGCTCTGACCAAACTCCTCGGAGTGACTGACAGGATCCCAGGAGCCTTCAGTCCCACAGCCAGCTGAGAGCGGCTACATTTGTTATCAGAAAGAGCAGGGACTAACAGGGACTGC